AATGGCTAGTCACCAGTCATACTGGAGTGGGGCCCACTCTATTGATCTCATCTTAACTTGATCATCTGCAAAGACCCTAACAAGGTCACATTCGCAGATACTGGGAGTCACACAATTCAACAAATATCTGCCAGTGCCAGGTAGTACATGCTTGTATGTATTTGTCTGTTACTGTGTGTTTGACTGGCAACAGGGCACTTAGTAACAAGGACTTACACAGACGGCTTTCTGTTTCCCAGAGACAAGGCATGGAGGGGGTGGGTGCCGGCACTGGTGCAGCTGCCCTGGGCTGTTACCAGGAACCCATGTCCTCTTGTTGCTCCGTGTCCTTAGCATGTATCTTTTGCCCTCACGCTGGTCGCCCTGGCGTCCAGATGGCTCTCCATGGCTGCCAGCTCACATCTGTGTTTAAGGTTGCAGTAGAGGTGGGGGGAGATGGTGTCGGCTACATCTGTCCCTTATTATCAGGAAAGAACAAGCTTTTCCCAAAGCACCACAGCCGCCTCTGTTCCTGTCCTGCTGGCTGGAGCTGGGATGTGTGGCAACACCCGGGAGTAAGAGACGCTGAGAAAGTGAGAGGCTGCAAGAGCTGGGAGGAGCATCCTTGAGAGGACTGGATGAGACAGAGCAGAAAACCCCGCCCAGTGTGGTGCGTGGGCAGGCTCAGGTTTCAGGTTTGGTAAATGGTTTTTTCTTCTCTTACCTGCTCTTCTTGGAGAGGGAGGAATCCCTACAGGATGATGTCCAGACCTGCGTGCACATGGCTTGCTTGTTCTCGGTGTTGTGCCGATATGGTCTCTGCACACCTCTGCCTTCCATGAACATTTGGTTGCAGTGAGGGCTGGGAACCACAATCCTGTCTTGTTCATTTCCGTTTCCCTCTGGCCCCTGGACAGTGCTTGGCACACAGTAGGTGCTCAGTAAATCTTTGTTGAACTTAATAAGCATCTTTTCCCTTCAAAGACATTTGAGTCCAGAAACAGTCTCATCCATTCATTCTTTCTCTTGTTCATTTACCTATTCATTTGGCACAACCTCCTTGGTGCTGGGGGTTCAAAGGCAGATTTGGGGATATACAGGGATGGTGAGGACATGCAGAGAGGGAGGGAAGGGGGCTCGTGAGGCCTTCTAGAACAAAACAGGGTATGGCGTTCTGTAATCAACAGGGCAGGTATTAAGAGATTAAACTTTTGGAATTTTATAAATTCCAGTTTCACTCTAGTGAAAACAACCAGCTGGGACACATAGGAATCCCTGTTCATCCAGCAATGTGGCTTACTCTCCATTTCTCCTATTTGTGAAATAGTTCAAAATTTAAAGTACATGGTTTTTAATATGCTGAATAAATATTTACTGAGCCCCCACCGTAAGCCAGGCACTGGGCTATGGAATGCGTTGACGTGAATACCTCTCAGAAGGTAATGTTTCCAGTTTGTCCTGAAATGAATGTGCTGTTCCCGCAGCAGAGTGGCCAAGGGGACAGTTCTTATCTGTTAATACTTTAATCGCTCCCAGGATTCTTTCCCCTTTGGCCCGGAGCCCTGCTGCCTTGACAGTGACCTTGTTTTCTCTCAGTCTCCAGCCACGTGCAGCTGGTTCAGCTTTTTCTCTTGGAGGACCAGATCGACTGCCCACAGAGGCCACTAATTGGAGGCCTTGGGCTGTGTCCTGCTGGCCTGGCAGATAAGGCCTCTCTCTCAAGGACTGTGTTTATCTGGGGAGGGTAGGACCTCTTCCTGGTACAGCGAGAGCAAACCAAATGCAGACAGGCAGAGGGGAGTGCGGATCGAGAGCGAGGCTGTCCAGGCGCCGCTCACTGCCCCCGAGCCCTTGAACTGTGGCCAGTCCCAAGTGAGCTGTGCTGTGAGTGAGCAAAGCATCTAGTTTCCAAGACCTTAGGTGAATAACAGAATGTAAAATATCTCAGTAATAACTTTTATATTGATTACATGTCAAAATGCGTTTGACTATATTGAGTTAAACAAACTATATTACTACAATTAATTTCTCTTTCTTATTTCCTTTTTTTAATATAGATACCAGAAAATTTAAAATTACATGTGCAGCTCACCTTGTATTTCCTCAGACATCTTGGAGAAGTGTGTTTCTTTCGAGGTCAGCAGGCCTTTTGACCAGCTCTGTCCCTTTCTCGAGAGCGTGCGGCCCTGGGACAGGGCTTACCTGCACTGAAGGGCCACACGGTAGCCTGTCTGGTCTTGGTGTGTGCCGTGTTTTCAGTGCCACTCGACAGCTCTCATTTCGTGTCTTGAGTTTAGTCGTGAACACTCAAGATTCCTGCCTGACCTGGTCCATTGGACACCTTCTCAGACTGAACTGTTGACCTAACTCAGCTCACTTCAGTATCAATTCAGATGCAAAAGTCCTTGGACTTTTTTTCTGAATGTATAACATGAGGGGCTTGGGTTAGATGAACCTAACGCTCTTCCTTACAAAACTCCTCGATCGCTGGTTTGGAATCTCCCTTGACTTGCACCTTCGCCTCAGGTTAACTCCTGACTTCCCCTCTGAGTCCACCTGTCTCTCTCACAGCTTCCACTGTGTTTCTCCTTGAACCTTGGCATTCTCCCCGCCCTCCTTCAAGGATCGAGTCAAAAGCACCCGCCAAATCTTCCATATGTGCCCAGTGAAGACTGGCCGAGAGGAACCTCTCCCGTACATATCTCTTTGTGAATGCTACCACCTGCGCCTGGCCTGTCTCAGCATGTCCTGACTTACTCTTACAGTCACTGGATGTGTTGCCCTGCAGCTCGCTGGCCTTTCACCCAGATCCTGTTCTCTGGCTGACCTCCTCAATGGTGCTTGCTTCATTGCTGGCAGCGGTGCTTTCTTCATTTGCATCCCTGCTTTCGTAGCTGCCCAGTATTTTCTTCTGCATCTTGCAGACTTGTGGCTTTTGTAGGTCTGTTCCATTCTCTAGCCTGTTCTCCCTTCCTGGCTGCATTTCCTGCTGTCACCTGACGTATATCCCCGTGGTCCAGGGCATCCTGCCCCCATCACCTGCTTTCTCCTGCATCCCAGCCTCCCAGCTTTCCCTGATTCCCTCCCAGCTTTCCCGTGCTTTCTCTGACAGTCGTCCTGGCTTATCCTGCAGATCCTCTTTACTGTCGCTTCCCAGGAGCTCTGCGTGGCCTCTTCAGGCCTCGCCATGTCCCTGCGCTGCTTTGGCATTTACTGGATGACATGGAATTGAGTCAGCATCCTTTTACTCCCTGGACATGTCAGGCATGGTGCCTAGGGCCCACGAGCCTTGCAAAATTGAATATTTTTAAATCTTGAAAAGAACTATTAGCTCCAAAGTATTAAAAAAAAAAACAGAATTGATGTTAACGCGTGTGTCATATTATGTTAACAAAATATAACAGTCATTTAGTCAACTGAAACTCAAGGCACAGTTACATAGAAATTATGTTTAACCTGAAATCGGGATGCTCTTTAGTGGTTGGCGTGATGGGTGTGAGGTGAGGCCCCTGGAATAAAACATCCCGGAATTAAGTACTGCCCTGCATGCTTTTGTCTTCTTTCCAACACTCCTTGACAGTGGAGATGAGACTCAGACTTTGATATTTATTGGTCACATCTTCTTGGGGTGAATGTAGGGCAGGCTGGGCTCCTAGAGGAAAGAGACGTGTCTTACTCAGTTTTGAATTCCCAGCACAGGACCTGGTACATTCAGCTACAGTGTGCTAAACTTTTAACTGAATCCAGTACATTTTTTAAAAAAATAAACAACATTAAGATCCTGCCTGAAGGTTTATGTTTTCTTTTTTCCTGAAACACCAACATATGGTGGTTTTTAAAACCACTGGCGTCTGTAAACTGACCCCAAATGGCAAAAACCCTTAGCTGAGCTGCTAATAAAAATAATCATCCAGAAGCTGCAAACCTGGTTTGTATGATTTTAGTTTAAATTATATTTGGATCTTTCCTTGTATGGACTCTATATACATTATCTACACCATACTGTTTCTCTAGAAATCAGTCTAGTTACAATATAACTACCATTATGTGATAATAAATGCCTTGGGTGGTAAGATAAGGATTTTCTTGGTAAACATGAAATTATTATTGTTTAAAATTTTTTTTCCAAGAGAAATTAGCTAAAAGGAACATTTGCTAGCGTGATCAAGTGGGCTCTGCTGCAGAGCTGGAAGCATTTAAATATAAATCCTGTTGCCTCAGCAGGAAGAATGAATTTCTAGGCCTAAACTGGGGGAAGGTATGGCTTAAGGATAAATGCATGATTTTTATTTGCAACTGCATGATTATTTCAGACAGTTGCACTTTGGGGAATCTAGCTCAAGGAAATGATACTAAATGTGGAGAAAAATAAATGTTTCACGCACAAATGCTTCTCTTCTTCTTTTTTTTTTAATAATAGCCCCAAATGGAAACCATCTAAATATGGTTAAGTAAATATCCTGCTCTAATTACATCAGATTTCTGAGATTGTGGACATGGGAAAATGTTTATAATGTATCATTAAATGAAAACAATTATGAGACCAAATTGTATATACAATATGTCTACAAACATGGAAAATATGCTGAGGAAAGGAATCATAACTCACAAGTATTGTGACATTTTTTTCTGTTTTTGATATTTTTATTGTGGTAATATTTCATTTTATAGTGAAATAAATGATTTTAGTTTAAAAATTGGTTAATTGTAAATTCTGCCCACCAATACACACAAATTTTATTACTTCATACACAACAAATGTATATTTCAACAAATAAATTGACGCTGTGTCTCAACTGGACATTGTGCCACAGTGGGCTTGAAGAGAAATGAGTAACATACAAAGAGAAAACCCTCCTGTTACTAATAAACAAAACAAAGCAATACAAACCCCAACATTTTTCCTGAAGGGGGGCTTTTTCAGGCATACTTTTATATCATGCCCCTGCAGATCTGAGCAATGACAGTTAATGTCAGAACCGTGACAGTGTGGCCCCACGAAGTCCAGGTCATCCAGTGCCCAGTGGTTGTGGTCACTCATTGAGCTGAATGCAGCAAGACCACAGGGACAGGGGCTTAGAATCCTGCTCCAGACTTCAGATCCCATTTGAATCTTCTGCAAAGACTTTAACCTCTCTGTAATTGTTCCCATTTTATTCACCTAAAAAGTGAGAATGGTCTTAGGGTTACTTCTTTTTCGGGGCTACTCTGAGGAGTAAATAATTCGGGAATAAGAAAATTTAGAGATAAACATTTAAGGCCTGTCCAAAAGGCAGAATCACAAATAACCTGTTGGAATTAGTTCCACAGGGAGGCAGGCAGCCAGGTGTGAGATGTGAGGAAGCGGTGAGGGCTGTGGGAACTTGGACAAACACTGACCAAAACACTCAAATTCCATCTTGAAAACACTTACTGGTTGAGTAAAATACTGCCCTTCTGGTCTACAAACATGGAAAGTATTAGACCCATCGAGGTGGTTAATATTTTCTCTAGCTTTTCAGCTAAGGATAGGACAGCCTAAAAGAAAGAATGCCTTATGTCTTCCTTTCTCTACTTTTCTTTTCTGATTGTTGTTTTCTTCTAAATTTTCTGGGGAAATGTGAGCAAACCATGGCATTGCTGGTAGACAGAGCAGAGACGTGGCTTGGGCTGAGGTTAGCCATGCACCCTGTTCTTATTGAAGGCTCAGACCCGTATGTTTCATATACCGTCTTAACTTGCACAATTTTAGCCTGACTATACGTTTATCAATTTTATTATCTTTCAAAGAACCAGCTCTTAATTTTGTTGTTTTCTCTCTTGTTTTCCTATTTGTGATTATATCAATTTCTGCTCCTGTTTGTGTTATGTCTCTTCTTCTGCTTGCTTTAGGCTTAAATTCTCTTCTTACTCTGGTTTCCTAAAGAGGAAGCTTAGAGTCCTGATTTTAGATCTTTCTGCTTTTCTAATATATACATTTAATGCTATAAATTTCCCTGTAAGCACTGCTTTTGCTACATTCTATTCATTTTGATAAGTTGCATTTTCATTTTCATTCAGTTCAAAATGTTTGTTAGTTTCTCTTGAGACTTCTTCTTTGGCCCATGTGTTATTTAGAAGTGTGCTGTTAAATCTCCAGGTATTTGGGGATTTTCCAGCCATCTTTCTGTTAAACTATTCTTCCAATTTAATCCCATTTTGATGTGAAAGCATACTTTGTATGATTTCTGTTTTTTTTTTAATTTGTTAAAGTGTGTTTTATGGCCTGGAATGTTCCATGTGAGCTAGAGGAATGTGTGTTCTACTGTTGTTGGATGGAATATTCTATGTGTCAAATAAATCAAGTTCATTGTTAGTACTATTCAGGTCAACTGTGTCCTTACTGATTTTCTTCTGCCTGCTGAATCTGTCAGTTACTGAGAGGAGTGGTGAAGCCTCCACCTATAATAGTGGATTTGTCTCTTTCTCCTTACAGGTCTGTCTGTTTTTGCTTTGTGTATTTGATGCTCTGTTGTTAGGTGCACACATGTTTAGTGTTGTTGTATCTTCTTGGAGAATTGACCCTTTATCATTATGTAATGTCCCTCTTTATCCCTGATGATCTTTCTTGTTCTGAAATTAACGTAGCTACTCCAGGTTTCTTTTGATTAGCATTAACATGGTATATCTGTCTCCATCCCTTTACTTTTAACCTGAGTCCTTTTATTTAAAGTGGGTTTCTTTAGACAATATATAGTTGAGTCTTGCTTTTGTATCCACTCTGAAAATCTCTATCTTTTAACTGGTATGTTTAGACTATTCACATTTAAAGTGATTATTGATATAGTTGGATTAATATCTATGGTGTTTATAATTGTTTTCTATCCATTGCTTCTGTTCTTTGGGTGTTTTTCCTCCCTCTTTTGCTGACTTCTCTGGTTCTGAGCATTTTATTTTATTTATTTATTTATTTATTTTTTTAACTTTTTGTTTATTGCAGTAACATTGGTTTATAACATTGTAAAAATTTCAGGTGTACATCATTGTACTTCTATTTCTGCATAGACTACATCATGTTCACCACCAAAATACTAATTACAACCCATCACCACACACATGTACCGAATTATCCCTTTCACCCTCCTCCCTCCCCCCTTCCCCTCTGGTAACCACCAATCCAATCTCTGTCCCTATGTGTTTGTTTATTGTTGTTATTATCTACTACTTAATGAAGGAAATCATGCGGTATTTGACCTTCTCCCTCTGACTTATTTCACTTTGCATTATACCCTCAGTGAACATCCATGATGTCACAAATGGCTGGATTTCATCGTTTCTTAAGGCTGAGTAGTATTCCATTGTGTATATATACCACAGCTTCTTTATCCATTCGTCCCTTGATGGGCACTTAGGTTGCTTCCAAGTCTTGGCTATTGTGAATAACGCTGCAATGAACACATGGGTGCATGTACCTTTACAAATTGGTGTTTTCAAGTTCTTTGGATAAATACCCAGCAGTGGGATGGCTGGATCATATGGTAGTTCTATCCTTGATTTTTTGAGGAATCTCCATACTGTTTTCCATAGTGGCTGCACCAGTTTGCACTCCCACCAGCAGTGTATGAGAGTTCCCTTCTCTCCACATCCTCTCCAACACATGTTGTTTCCCTGAGCATTTTATATAACATCATTTTATCTCCTCTATTAGCATATCACTTATATTTCTTCTTAAAATTTTTAGAGGTTGCCCTAGAGTTTTCAGTATATATATTTTTAACTAAACTAAGTCCACTTTCAAATAATATACTATACCACTTGATATGTAGTAATGGCATCTTATAACAGAGTGTCCTTGATTCTTCTCTGCCTCCCCTTATGACATTGCTGTTGTTCCTTTCCCTTATCCATATGCTATCACCCAATACATTGTTGTTATTACTGCTTTAAACAGTTTTCTTTTAGATCGATTAAGAATAAGAAGAAGGAAATATTTTATTTTACCTTCATTTATTCTTTCTTTCTCTTCCTGTGTTTATATTGGTCTTAGTTTCTAACATATTTTCCTTCTCTCTGAAGAAGTTTTAACATTTCTTGCAAGGCAGAACAACTGGTAACAAATTCCCTCAATATTTGCTTCTCTGAGGAAGTGTTTATTTCTCCGTTAGTTTTAAAGGATAGTTTTGCTGGAAATAGAATTTTAGGTTGGTATTATTTTTCGTTCAACACTAGAAATATTTCACTTCACTCTCTTCTTGCTTGTTTGGTTTCTGGAGAGAAGTCAGATCTAATTCTTGTTTTTGCTCCTCCATAGTTACAATGTTTTTCCCCTTCTCTGGTTTCTTTCAATATTTTCTCTTAGTCTTTGATTTTTGTAATTGACTATGATATGCCTAGGTATACATTTTTTGCTATTTTTTCTGCTTGATGTTCTCTGAGCTTCCTAAATCTGGATTTTGTGTCTGTCATTGATTTTGGAAAATTCTCGGCCATTCTTGCTTCAAATATTTTTCTGCTGTGTTCTCTCTTTCTTCTCCTTCTGGTATTCCAATTATGCATATGTTATACATTTTGAAATTATCTTACAGTTCTTGGATGTTCTGTTCTTTTTTTTTTTTATTCATTTTTTTTTCTGTTTGTATTTTAGTTTGGGAACTTTCTGTTGACCTTTCTTCAGGCTCACTGATTTTTCTCTTGGCTGTGCTCACTCTATTGATGAGGCTGACAAAGGCATTCTTCATTCTTTACAGTGTTTTTATTCTAGCGTTTCCTTTGATTCTTTCTTTAAAATTCCATCTCTATGCTTATATAACCCATTTGCTCTTGCATTTTGTCTACTGTTTCCATTAGAGCCCTTAATGTATTAATCATAGTTATTTTAAATTTTCTGATAATTCAGTATCTGTGTCACATCTGTGTCTGATTTTTATGCTTGCTCTGTCTCTTCAGACTGATTTTTCTTGCCTGTGAGCATGCTTTGGGGGTTTTTTGTTGTTGTTGATAGCTGGGCATGATGTATTTTGTAGTAGGAACTAAGGTAAAAGGCCTTTAGTGTGAGGTTTTATGTTACTCTGGCTAGGAGCTGAGCTGTGTTTAATGTGTGCTGAAGCTGTAGGTGCCAGAGGCTTCAGATTCCTCTAGTGTCCTTTTTCTGTCTCTTCTGTTGTGTTTGGGGTTTCCTAAGAACGCCTCATTAGGTAGTGTCTGTTTCTTGCAGTTCTTTTCAGCTGTAATTCGTTGTTATCATACTGGGACCCTGTTAATGGGGAGGTAAGTCGAGGGGCAGGGGAGTATTCTGTACTCTCAGGACTAAACCTGTCTTTTAGCAGGCCTGTGTACCTGGGCTGTGGCCTTCACAAGTGTTTCTGAGCTATTTTGCCCCTCCTTAGGTGAGGCAGGGAGGCTAGAGGGGCTAGAGTTGGGTCATTGTCCTTCCTTGGGTGAGGAGGGGCCTGCAGAATGGGCCTTTGTTATGGTGACTGCTCTGGGCATATTTCAGCTGGTTACTCTTCCCCTGGCCAGAGCCTGGAATGGCATTTTCTTGTCTCTTCACTGTGAGTACCTGGTGGGCTTCCTGGAGGTCAAACCCACAAAAGTGTGGGGTTCCCTCAAGACTATGGCCCCTAGGAGTTTCTTTCTCACTGTCAAGCTAGTTCCTACTCAGCATCCAGCAAGTCATGAAATTACCATGTAGGTGTTCCCATCAGTTATGGCCCCAGCAGATTCACCTCTAGGTGAGCAGATCTCTGCTGTGACTCTTTGACTTGACCCCTCTCTAGATTTCAGGGGCTTGGTTTGCTCTGTGACCTCAGTTTTCTGATGGTTCCAAGAAGTGGCTGATAGCTGGTGTGTCCAGCTTTTTCTCATGAGGATGTGATTGACAGCTTCCTGGTTGTTTACACGTCAGAGCTGAAACCTCAAGTCTCCAACCCTCACATTTTGTACCCATATGTGCTATTCTGCCTCGCTGTCATTTTTTCATTTATAAGCCCCGTGAGGGCGTTGGCCGTGGTAGTGGAGCAGGCACCGATGGAGATAGGGCTCTCAGAACTGCAGTGTGAAGCTGGGAAA